GCGGTTGAAACGAGATACCGTCTGATGTTCATTCATGTTTATTTCGTGCTTTAACTAGTAAAGAGAGAGAAGATCTGTTCAGGTGCCTTTTGAACTAAGGCGCTACAGTGATCTGTCACAACACATTAAAGAGCCACAAAATGGTATTTGTTTGAATTCCTTAAAAAAAAATTTGAAAGCTGAAACTTTGTTTCATACCTAAAGTAACCTGCTCTGTCTTGTCTGTCGGCATGTTGTCAGTTTCCTCTTTGCTCTGCAATGTATTTTTCATTGCATGAGAACGTGTGGCACAAGAGTGCCATGTAGGGCTGCACGATAAATCGCATGCGATATTTAATGCGCAGTAATACAAGCGGCTTTACTTGTCAGTAAAGCCGCTTCTGTAATCAGCGGTAAATCTCCATCACGTGCGGGCTTTCACATGAAGCAGCATTAACTACACAGAGCCGTTGTTCACAGGCAAGCTGCGCAACACCACGTTCATAAATTCGAGCCGTTCATGCCAGACTGGGGAGAGAGGTGTTGTAATAATGTAAAATATGTGAAAAATAATGTGTTTTTCGAACAACCTTGTATGAGAGCCTGTTCTAGTACACCCCCAAAACAAAATCAAGGCTTTGTAAAAGAGCATAATGGGACCCCTTTAACAAACCTGATTTAGCTGTCTTTGCTGCAAAAGGTGGCTCAGCAAAATATTATGTAAAAAAAAAAAATAGTATGTATGTTGTGCTTATTTTTCTAATACATCAATTTGATCTATTACCTCAAACCATATGTGAACAAAATAATAGGCTGTAAACTGAATAACTACTGTGAATAGCTGTGCCACTGATGTCTCATAAAGCACATTAATGGGGTTTTATCTGTAATATTTGAATACGAATTTTATCTATAACTGACGTTCATTTGTAAGCATATAACCACAGATAAAAGCCATTTGAATCTTCGTTGGCTGAGTGTTTACATCCAGAATGTCTGTCTGGTTTTTTCAGTACTTACTGAGGACACAATCACACATTCACAGACAAACAACAGAGATCCAATTCAGGATGAGGAAAGCAGCTGATGCTTATTTCTGCATCAGTGTCTGGAGGGCATGGAGGCTCACTCATGGTTTTACTTGCCATTTGTTGCTCAAACATGGTTGTAAAGCCATATTGCGGGATTAATTTGAAAAGAGACCTAAGTCAAGTTACATTTTAAATGCTTAATCTCATAGCATTAGGCATTTCAGTTGACTACAGATTTGAATCAAATTACATCTAGGGATGGCTCAGTACCACAATTTTGCCATGTTGCCATAGCGTATCTAGTACAGAAATGAGCAAAATCATAATGTTGTACCGTTTGAAATATAATATATATACCGGTATTTTTCCAGTACTGGTATACTAGGGTTGGGTACCGAAACCTGGTACCAATATGGCACCGGTACCTAACCGGTATGTACTAGAACCGAATCCGAACGCAGATTTTGGTGCCTCATTTCTGTGCCATGCCGGAGCGATCGATTGAAATATTTGTCCTCTGGTTCTCCGAAATGGACGTAAGAAGCATCATCACTGGCACCGCACGTGAAAAATAATTTCCAGACTGAGAAAATGCACATGAACTCAAGTTGGAAAGCTCTAATAAATCCAACACATCTTTGTAGTAACGAGAGTGTCCATGTTGTTTTCCACATTCCGATTTAAAAGCAAACTCGGAAATGACAGCATCCGAGGAGCGCGTGAATGCAGTAATT